TACCCTGTAAGTACAGGGAACAAGGAGGGAACAAATACTGTATTTACCCTTTAACTACAGGGAACAAAGAGGGAAGAAGCTGAACTTTAACATACTAGTGTATACTTGAACACTAAGAACAGAGTAAACTACAGCAGCAGTTTTTATTGAATGAAGACCAAATTACTAGATTTTTCTATAAAGCATCAGCTATACATTTACTGAAATGCAACAGTTAGCCCCCCTGTGCAACAGCAGTAAAGATGCGAGCCTGTTTTAATCTGCATTGAACCCTGACGGTAGGCCTATGTCATGCAAAGTTATTTGTTGATAGTGAGTTATGGAGACATCGATGGCTTTGGTGAGATCGACGAGTAAACATAAGGTAAGTAGTGTATGGAAATATAATTTATATTGAATTGCAGATTTAAAATACATACAGTATACAATAAGGGTTCATAATTTCACAGGTTTTAAACCTTTTATTCATTAAACACCCCATATAAAACCCAAGCACTGAATAAGAGTACTAATGTACTTACGCAGGTGCATATACAGTACATTTGCAGATAGCAATAGATTGTCACCATCCTTGCATAATTCTTTATATGTATACAATACTTGAAGAAATGTACATCGTAAACTTAATATACTTCTTTGCGTAATGGATATCTTATTATTACTCCCCTTTTACGCAAACATTATGGTTTGTTCTTTTGCAATTTAAAGAAAAGTACAACCTTATTTCACTGTACTTACGCGGTACCTTTCATGCTGAATATCTGGTTGTTACCCCCTTATTACCCGAGCATTACAGTTTGTTCCCTTATACTTACGTAAACGTTATTTATACTTACACTATAGGTACAGAAATGTACACCGTTATTTCACTGTACTTACGCGGTAATTTTCGTGATGAACATCTGGTTGTTACCCCCTTTTTACCCAAGCATTACGGTTTGTTCCCTCATACCTACACATAAGTTCATTATACTTACACAGTACGTACAGAAAAGTACACTGTAATTTCACTGTACTTACGCGGTACTTTGCGGGTTGTAAAAGAAAGCGTTACCATATATTCTTTTGTGTTCAACAGAATAAAGAATCTTAAAGTTTTGTTACCAATTAAGGGTGAATACATAGCACATTAAAATAATTTTTGAGGATTTTAAGTGATGAATCTAACACGATGCAGTATAGTCCAGATCTGTTTGTTTATCACTGAGCTGTGCTTCAGATGCATCACACAAACCATTTGCACTGCAAAAATTGACTGTACTCACCTCATTTACATCTTTTTTTTTCTTCTAAAGTTTGTTAATAGACGTTAGGGAGCCGTTTACTTTGGTTCGTCAACATGCAGGAGAGGCAGTGTTAATGAGGAGACTATGAAGTGCCGATCTAAAAATAACACTCTGACAGAATTTAAACACGCGCACACACACTTTCACCATCTCCACACACCTCCAAAACACACAGCACCAGACAGAATTATCAACAAGACTGTTGTCAGGCAAAAATATCCAAGTTTAAAATGCAATATTTCAGAAAAAATAAAACAACATGTAGTTGTTAGTCAGCGTTGAAGACTTTCTTTTTTTTGTTTAACGATTCCACCAAGAATACAAATAATGTCTGATAGGGTGTGAACATGAAACGGGTGAGTATTTTGACAGTTTTGTATGAATATTTAGATGTGATAATACAAGGTTTCTCACTAATGGCTTCTTTTAAACCGTCTGAGAGGTTTTGCTCCTCACGGTTCCTCTTTTATTGCATGGCATTTCACTGTTCTGTTGCACCGAATTCTTTTTCTTGGCTGTTCGGGACACATTTTGGACTGGTAAATTGCAGTTTGAGGGGACGAGGTTTAGCAGGGCCTGGCTATTTGGACTTGTCCGTCAGAAGGTGATTGTTATTCCTTTTCTTGCGAACTCCTTTTCCTTCGGCCTGAAATGTGTGTTTCTCATTAAAAGAATGTCCAGCTCTGCACAAAGGAATTGTTATGTTTGGGCAACATCTGTGTCTTAAAAGGCAGAGGCGAAAAGGCCAGAGAAAATACAGGACAAACATTAAATCATAAGTACAACAATTTTTTCCCCTGTAATTGAATGGTTGGCTCTGCTTTTCCCACAGAATTGTGGTGCGTCTGCGTATGAGTGTTAGGGGACAAAGAAAACAGACTGTAGGTTTCATTTCGCTCTTCCTCTTGTCTGGCTTTCTCCATGGCTTTGGAAGAACAGATAAAAAAAAAAATGACAATTCAATTTTCAGACTTTTTTTAAATAATAAAAGATAAAATGGTTTTTATTGAAGTAAATCAAAAGGCAGCATTAAATCCCTTTGAGAAAAAGTAAAAGTTATTTTAAAGTAATTAGTAATAAAAAGTCATTTGTAATAGGAGGTAACACCTTAAAGGTTTCATGTTTCTTCAACTTAAGCTACAAAACGATCATAGAGAGATCGTCAACTACATCCATATGAAGTTAGCACTTTAATAAAGTCTGATAAGACAATTGCATGACGAGTAAATGCAATTTTGGCTTTTATGCATAGATTAGTAACATAAATGTTCAACCATACACTGTAAAACCCAACAGTCAACTTTATCAAATGAAATGAGTGTAGTTAACTCAAAATCTGCTTAAAGATAATTCTACTCATTTGAAAAGAGTTTTGGACTCAGTGTTGAAGGTAATGAGCTAATGAAATACTGTACTGTACTTTATTACTTCAACCTAAATAAATTAGGTTTGCAGTACTCATAGATTTGTTTTTTTTGTTTTTTTAACTAAAATGGTTTGTAGCAGTCGGTTTCTTCAAACTGTTTGAGTTGCCTTAACTTATTGGGTTTTACACAACTTTGTTGATTTGAGTTCTCCTTATTTATTGGGTTTGACTGTGCTCAAATTGCTTTTTGTTTGTGGTTACCGTGGTTAGTGGTTTGAGTTACCTTAACTTTTGGGGTTTTACAGTTTACCTGCTTCTTGCATGAGAACAAAACTTTTTGGTTCCTCTAGAAGTCCAAATGTGTTGCATGTTGTGTAGATCGTCAAAATGGCAGAAAGAAGAATGTCCACGGTTTAATGTGTCTTGCTAATAACAGACATCGCCAAGGTGAAAACATCTGAAAAGCATTATTTTAACAATACATTTGTTTTTAAGTTGTTGTTTTTTTCTGTCACTGCAACACATAAAAACCTTTGTCCTGCCCTTATGTTTCACACAAAACTAGACAAGGTCGACTGTGGTTGGCCACTTTTCATATCGTCAAATCACCATCTCGGAATCACTGTAGTATGTGCAGGTATTTTTGCATTAAATTGTGACAAAAGGTCATAAACATTTTTATTTTTCCAGCCTGAAAATTGCATACAAAATCTCCTTGTTAGTTTTAAGCAGTTTTCAACACAACAAGGCATTTTTCCAGGTATTCCAGCACTCAAATTTTGAAAAGCTTCAAGCACCTTGTGCAAACCCTGTCAACATTAAAACATTATTTGTTTCAGGCCCGGGCAGAGACATTTAAAGGGGCATGTGCAGGATAAAATGTTTTGAAGATCGTGGGGTGTCGAACTGAAAAAGCGGTGTGGGGGGGGGATTTGTTTGCATCAACTCAAAAGTATATGTATATATATATATATATATATATATATATATATATTATATATTGAGGGCAAATATATATATATATATATATATATATATATATATATATATATATATATATATATATATATATATATATATATATATATATAAACTTTAATGAATATATGAACTTTAATGAAGCACCGTAGATGACAGAAATACAGAGAAATTAAAAATTGTCAGTTGCACATTTTATTTTATGCAGAAAACTAATGCACTGCCAATTTTCACTGGCAAAATTTGGAAGAAATTTCCTTGTACAGAATACAGCAAAAAATATGTTTTAATAAAATACACAACTATAAATCATAAAGTCAGAGAATCAGGTTTTTCAAGTAATCTTTTTTTTGTCACTCAAACACACAAAAAAGTGAAAACTTGCTCGATTATGTAATTTGTGGTGCTTCATGACACTGGACTGCGCTGAACATCCCTCTTGTTTATTTTTCTTCACATATTCCGCTATTACTGTTTTAAAAGTAAGATTTGATTGAGGGATGGGTTCAGTGAAAGCATATACTATAGGATCTATTTACATCATTAAAATTGAGTTAATGCATACAGTACTAGATTGAGTCCCACTTTATATTAAGTGGCCTTAACTAATATGTACTTACACTGAAATGAATCAGTTGGTACAAAGTGTTTAAATAACTGTTTGTACACTGTACTTATGATTAAAAACATGCATATAATTACAACTGTAACTTCTGTAATTACATTTTTAATTACACTGTTGACCATCCCTTACACTTTAACCCACGCTTAGACCCATACAACCAAACCTGTCCTTAACCTGACCTGTATCCCACCTCAATCGCACCAGAAGTGTTCTACAATACATTATAAAGACATTAAGTACACTGTATTTACATTTTGATGCAAGTAAATAATAGTTAAGGCTACTTATTATAAACTGGGACCCACCAAAATGTCCTTTAGGTTTGCAAAGACATAAGGATGAGTAAGGAATGACAATTTTTATTTTTGGAGTGAACAAACCCCTTAGACTTTATTTTAAACAATACATACATTTTTAAATAATGATAAAAAAAATACAATTAACCATTAAAAAAAACAAACAAATATATTTATTAGCATTTACAAAGTTTAATGAATGCCTAAAATATATATATTGCTCATATAGTTCAAGTTAGCAAATGCTAACAAATGAAAACTTATTGTAAAGTGTGGCCAAATTGAGGCAGGCCTGTCACGTTCCCTTCTGGCAATGTTTGAATACGATGTGGCATTATCAGCTCAGCTTAATCCAAAAATTAAAAAAACAAAAATATATGGCTTCAGAAAGACCACAAACACTGAATTACCTTGTGCTCACTGTCGTTTGCCATATGCCAATGTGGATATAAAGGTGTTGCTTATTTATTTTACAGGGGCAAATAATGACAGAATACCCATAAATCATCTCTTAAGTAAATAACACCCATCATGAGTGATATATGCAATATGTAATATGTATGGTTGTTTGTAACACTGGCTTTGGACACGTGACGGCAGCATGTGTTCAGTACACACAATTCAGTGATCACGCAAAGCTTGAGGTATTCTGAAACGCTGTAACATTCATACCGGAAGTTCAATACATGAATTATTCAACTTAATGTTCAAGCCAATGCAGGTCTGTGCTTTATTTTTCAGTTAAGGGGCATCAATGAGGGTGAGTAAAATGAGATAAAAGGAGAGCAAAATAAATATATTATGTTGGTTTAAACTGAAGTTAAAGTCTGATTAGACCTCAGAGGAAGAAAAAGAGTCTGTGATGATCCTCAGTCAGTTTTGGTCTTGTCTGATTCCAGAATGCCTAGAAAAATCAGACAAAAAAGGTTATATACAGTACTTATTCCGCTTCTTCCAAATCAGAAATGTTATACAGAAGCAGTTCCCTCATTTCCCCAAACGTCCCCCTGAAACGCATATAGATTTAAATGCCACTCATAAACATTTGATGTTATTTATCATTTAATAAATTCAATTATTGCTGATCCTACTGATGCATTTAAAGATACTTGGGAGCGAGATCTAGGAGTTACTATGACAGAGGATCTATGGCAGGGGTGGCCAACCCTTTTCCTGGAGAGCCACCTTCCTGCAGATTTCAGTTGCTACCCATATCAAACACACCTGAACTAATTAATTAGGACCTAAAAACCACGTGATAATTACAGGCAGGTGTGTTTAATATGGGTAGCAACTGAAATCTGCAGGAAGGTGGCTCTCCAGGAACAGGGTTGGTCACCTCTGATCTATGGGATAACATTTTAGGTGCATTCCTCTACAGTGTAAATATTGTTTAGAGCTCATTTAACCAATGCTCAGTTGGCTAATTTCTTTCCAGATATAGGAGCTATGGTTGCAATCGTTGCAAAATTCACCTGCTGACCATCTGCATGTGTTTTGGACATGTCCATAGCTGGCCACTGTTTTGTCAGGTGTTTTAATACATTCAATAAATCCCTCAAAATCAATATACAGTAAAAAAAAGCATTTTTTGCATTGTGATTTTTCAATCTCTGTACCTGAATACAAGTGAAGCTTTCAAACCATTTTGTGAAATTGTGTTAATATTGCAATGTTTATTGCAGAAAAATAAAATATCGCAATATCAGATTTTTCTGATATCGTTCTACCCTACTACGAGCTCTAAAAAAAGACTTGTGCTGCTTGATTAAATTCAAAATTAGTTGAAACCACCATTCTTAGGCTTTTTTTAGGACAACTTAATTGTTTTTTGTTCAATCCACTTAAATTTGTAAAAAAATCATTGTTAACTTAACCTGATCGGGACATCCCTAAAATTTCCCTAAAAAGTCATTTGATTTTGAGTATCTATCAAAACCAATCCGATACTTCAATAATACATAAAAAAAAATAGAATACCCGGAAGAAGCAGATCCAGGATGATCCTCATTTTCTATTTAATACACTTTATTTTAACATTCATTAACTCTGTTAACAAATAGAGCACTTCTGTGTGTTAAAATAATTAGAATTTGCATTTTATCTTCATGTACGAGCTGGCGTAGCCATTTAAATCTTTTTGGTTCGAGACTTCAGTTTAATTCACATGCATTCATATTTTAGCAATAAAAACAGCTTGTTATGCTACTTGATATTGCAAACTGATATTTTCTTATTATATTATTCTGCTTTGTCTGTATAGTTATGCAAACACTTGTTTGTAGAGCAAGTAGTTTGACGGTTTTCTGACATTTATTATTCCAAGTCATTTCTATCATAGGCAACTGAAGTGGAAGTTCTAAAACAATCGCAAAAACATGCACACTTTCGCATTGAAGAATATAGTCATTATATATATATACACATATATATATTCGAGTCCTGATCGGGAGGTTACGTCCGATTCCGATCAAGTTATCCGTGATCTTGCTCGATTCTCTATCACGTGATCAGATCCAGACACCCCTATGAATTTTTGTTGGGACAACATGAAGGAATTGTTTTTAATATTAGACATCATTATTATTTTTCTTTAATATTTAAAAAGTATTGCATGTTACAGTGACATATTCCAGACCTGCAATCTCTTGGCAACTGAATGTGCATTTCAACGAGCTGTTCAAACCAGAATGAACAACAGCACAAAGCATTAGAGTCGGAAGTGTTCATGGTTGGTTTAGCTGGAAGGCCTGTTGTAGATTTCCAACACTGCTGCTCTGGACATGAGAGGACGAATGGACACAAACCAGTGTGTGTGTTTGTGTGTGTGTGTGATTTGCAGGTCAGTGTCAAACAGGTGGGAGGAAGAGAAGGTTTCTCCGTCTGCTGCTGTCAGACTGCTTGCGGCTCGGTTCCCCATCTGCTGTGTGCTGAACTACACCCACGATGCACTGCTGCAGTCTCCAGCGCTAACAGGTGGAGAAGTGTGTGTGTGTGGGGGGGGGTGTGTATGTACCTGAGGGGAAGTATATAATGTCTCTAGCCGTTCTCCCGGCGTGGGTTTAAGAGCAAGACATTTGTAGCTAGACATGATAAATATTCAACACAATCTAACTCGCAGTCAATGATGGAAAATCAGAATATTACAGTTCACACTCACTGAAAGAAACAGTAGAGGTAGTCCTGGAAATGCTATTTAAAGGGCACCTATTTTACCCCTTTTCAAGATTTAAGATAAGTCTTTTGTGTCTCCGGAATGTGTTTCAGCTCAAGATTATTTATTATACTTTTCAGAATATTGAAATTATCTGCTCTGAACACTAGCTGTTTATGTTGCCTGTGCCTTTAATGCTAGTACTCCACGCCCACTGTTACCTCATGCCTGTCAGAGTGTTTCAATCTCCGTCAGATAAACAGCACAGTGACAGACATGAAGGAAGTAGATCTCATGTAACCTTTGTGAGAAATACTACAGTAAGAACTTTTAAAGTTGAAACAAATAGTGTCACATTTTTCAGTATTACTGCAAATTTTAAAACATTTCAAATGTTAAACACAAAAGAAGATATTATAAATAAACCTGTAACCATTGACTTCCATGGTACTTGTTTTTCCTTTGGAAGTCAATTTACTCAGCTTTCTTCAAAATTTCTTCCTTTGTATTCAACCGAAGAAAGAAACTATCCTGCAAACAGTTTTGTGTTTAATAGACATCTTATAGACATCTAAATGTAGACAGCTTGGCTAAAACAAGACAGAACTTGGACAGTCTTTATAGATATCTAAGAATAGTCCAAAACTAGACTAGTCGTCAAAAAGACAGATTAGATAGACTTTATATGTGTAGTCATTCATTTCTGTATATTTGGTGACTAGTCTAGTTTTGGCCTATTCTTAGACGTCTATTAGATTTTCACTGACAGACCATTTTTAGCCTTGTTTTAGCAAAGACAACTATGTTTTGATGTCTATTAGACATCTATTAGAGATCTATTAGAGATCAAAAAATTGCTTGCTGGGTAACAGGTTAGGGTAACCAATTGAGGGTGAGTAAATAGTGAACACATTTTCATTTATTGGAGTAAACTGTACTTTTGATAGCAATTTCAGTGGTTTCCTTTTTGTTTTTTGTGTGGTCAGTAGAAAGAAAGTCATAGAGGTTTGGAATTAATCTACAAATATTCATATTTTTCACAGTAAATTACATTAGTATCACTTTACAGGATTTAACTTTATATATTTACAGTAATGGGTTGTGTTCAGAATTTCATTGTGGAATTAATCAAATTAGCATGATTACAGCAAATAACTGTAAAGAGGGATATACATTTTGCATGTTGGTTATAGGAATTCAAACTCTTTTTATTACATTCAACACAGATGTTAATACAAATGAACTTTTATGCTAGTATTGGCACTTTTTGATACTTAGAAATAACAGAATGTTATTGCAGCCCCATCAAATTGGTTACATCTTCTAAAATAAATCATCCTGTTTTGAAACAAAATGAATGTCATAGTAAATTGTCATGTTTAAGTGCACTGCACTTTTATTTAATTTTATAAGTTTAACAAAGAAATATTAAATAATTTTTAATGAACACAACTTTGTGCTTAGCCAAACACGTAGTAAACTGGAACAAAAGTAATTGATTATAAAACCAAACACTGTTAAACACCCAAAATGATTTCAAATCAGGTTAAATGTTGGAATGAGTAGCCGAGGAAGGCCTGCTTCACAGTAAAATAGAGTTAATTCTACAAGATAATACTGTTAAATCACAGTGATGGGCTTTACTATCTACAATATCTGTAATTTTGCCTATAACTTGCCTGTAACTTGTAACTTGCCTATAATTTTGGCAACTTGCCTATACTTGCCTATCTGTAACTTGCCTATAATTTTACAGTAATTTAATGTAACAAAAAATTACTGTGAACTAATTAAGTAATTTGTTGTGAATTTGCTTACAGTATTTTACTGTGAACGTAATGCAATTATTAGCCAGTAATTTACTGTGAATTTTAGGTAAAAAATTTTTTTACAGTGTAGGAATGAATAAACAGTTGTTTTGTGGACAAAGCATCACTTTAACTTACACTTTGAGGAATCCCAGATGTAGTTGTTCAGAATTTCTCCCAAGACGTAGTAGACATTGATCAGAGCCATGAGGCAGAAGAAGAAGAGTATTCTGGCCGTGGGCCCAATGTGCTCCAGCAGAGGATAAACCCACACCCCCGTCATGCTGTGCACCCAGCACATCCTATGAGAGCCAGACACAGAAAATCTGTTACCCCGTCTAATGTGTTTATACTTCTGTCTGCTAAATCCAGCAGTCACCACGCTGTCAATGTGTCTACCATTCATGTCTGTGAATACTAGACACTGTTCTTTTTGTTACCATGCAGAGCTGCTTTAAAATCCTTTTTTTTTTTTTTAAAGCTAGAGCAATTTTAATGCAGTCACATGGTTATATCTACAGCCTGACAGTCTGTTTATGTAATGGATTGCGTCTGTTTAATCTACTTCTGCACTCAAATCTTTGGCTTTAATATTTGATAAATATTAAGGGAAGACACTGCAGGTGAATAGAATTAAGAAAATAACTTATATTTATCACCTCCCTTCCCCAGGTGATTGATTGTATTAAGAATCACTTTTTTTTTAATTAAACATTGATTAAAGTTTTAATAGTTAACACAAAAATTAAAATTTACTCTGTATTTACTGACCTTCAAATGATTCCAATTTATAAACTTAACTTTCAACTTTCTTAATGAGTTCTTTTTGTTCTGTTGTACATAAAAGAAGATGTTTTGAAGAATGTTGTAAACCAATAACCATTGGCATCCATAGTAGGAAAAAAAAACACCATGGAGCTCAACAACTTTCGTTTTTTAGCCGGAATATCTTCTATTGTGTTCAACAGAATAAAGAAATTTAATTGTTCATTTTTGGGCGAACTGTCCCTTTTAGTTTTAAAATGCAAACAAGGCATTATTTTATTAAATGTCTAGAACAGAAATCTAAACCTTGGATGAAGTCAGATTCAAAATGTGTCATGCATTTTTTTAACATAAAGCTATGTTTACACGACAACGATGTAGACAAAAATGAAAGTGTTTTGAATAAATTTCATGATAACATTTTACACAAAAATAGTAATAGTAATATTTTAGGTGTCTCATAATTGAAAAATCTAATTTTTAATCATACACTGAAACAACATATAATAAATAGTTAGTAACTGGTTGCAAACAATTACTATGGGCTGAATTTTCCCAAACAAATTAAATGTAGTAATGTTTTTTATTCCATGTCACAAGAGCCAGTTTCTGTGCCTGATGATCTTATTGTTGTGGTCCTAACTGTCGACCACCACAATGCACCAGCCCCTAATAAATAGGGTGAGGAGCTCGGAGAAGACCCAGGACACGGTGGAGGGACTATATCTCTCGGCTGGCCTGGAAACACTGCGGGATCCCCTCAGAGGAGCTGGAGGAAGTGTCTAGGGAGAGAGAAGTCTGTGGTTCTCTCCTAAGACTGCTGCCCTTGCGACCTGGTTCCCGAAATCGGATAATGAATGTATGAATGCTTGTGATTTAGTTGTTTAAATTCAGCCCATATAAATTGTTTGAAACTACCTACCTTAAAAAAAAATCCAATTAACCATTTTTTTTCAGTGTACGCAATTGAGAAAATACCACAAATATCAAAAGAAATACCTTTGAAGAGCTTTTCAGGGAATAAAATGTAAATTGTAAATGATCAGATGAATTCTTTTTGAGCAAATCCATCTGTAAAAACCTGCAGAATGCAGATATAAATAAATCTTTGAAGTTTAATGTATGTAAAAGCTCCTCGAGTGAAGATTCATGGCTTAGTGCAGAAAAAAAAACTCATTTTGAGAAAACCGCCTTTAAAATATATATTGCAATTCAAATTTACAGACACAAATCAATAAAGTGCAACAAAAGTAACACTTAAAATTGTATGTTTGATGTTTTCTTTACATCAAACCTAAAAAAAGCCAAAAATCCCCAATTTGACAGATGCATGAAGAAACAGTGTTTTTTTTAGCCTGCACTGTCTCTCCTTAAAAAAAAAAGGCTCATCTACCTTCTTTTCAAATGGCTTGTTTTCTCTCTGACTGGTGAAATTGTGTGTATCTCTGGAAGGTAATCCTCATTTAAAGCTGCCTATGGATTTAACAACTGCAGGCTAGTCTTATTGCCTGACTAAATAAAAATGCAGTGCCTAATCAGCTTAATTTGGGGAAGGGAAATGAGACAGAGGTGTGCGCTGATAATCTGCTGCTGAAGGTGATTTGGACAGACGCCTCCTCCACACTGTCACAAGAGTTTAGTTTGGCTCCGAGGACTTTCTTCGCATTGCCAATTAATCTGTTATATGCAAGACTAAATAAATCCTCGGATGATTATTTTCCAAAGGTTTCTGGGACATTGATACTGGGGTTGGATCTGCAATAAGGCACTTTCCATGAATAACACGTGTATATAAAAAACATGTTGAAACTTAAAGATATATACTAAACTTTTTTTGTTAATAAAAGTTGTTTTTACTTTCTCTTAATTTTATATGACCCCGTTGTCAATTTAGGATTGGGTCTAAATAGATGTAAAAAGCCATTAGTAGTAGTAGTAGTAGTAGTAATAATATTAATATAATATAATATACATTTTATGAAAAAAAAAATAATGTTTCTGTTGTTATCATCAACTTATCATTATTAATAATTTTTGCAATTTATGATCACATTTATTTTCCTTCTCATTTAACTATTAATATCATTATTATTACTATTATTAATATTATTGTTATTATTATTATTAATAATAATAATAATATTAATAATAATATTGTAATTATTAGTATTATTATTAAATGTAATAGATATTATAATCAATTATATTTTTTTGCATGTTTTAATTTTATTGTTATATTATTATTTCATTACAGTATGTATTACTAAATGTAATTAATAGTAAAAATATAATAATAAATGTATCATTATTATTATTATAAATAATAATATTCATTTATTTTAAAAATGTCATTCCTTTTATCATAAACTTACTATAAATATGAATTGTTATAATTTTATCACATTTATTTTTTACCTTTAATTGCTATTAATATTAATTATATTAATATTATCATTATTATTATTTTTATTATTGTAATTAAAATAATTAAATAGCAGTTTTTATTAATAAATGTAATTGATATTATAATCAATTTTTTTTGCACACCTGCTTTTTATTTTATTAAATATTACATTATTATTTTATTACAGTATTTGTTACTAACTTTTATTTATTGTAGTTAATAAAAACACAAACATAATAACAAATGTAATAATAATAATAATAATAATAATAATAATTATTATTATTATTATTACTACACAGTTTTTTTATTAAACAAACTACCATACACTAAAATGTGTAATAAGGTTAAATAGTTCAAATAACTCAACCTATTATAATTGTTGTTGTTGTCCAGGATGTCTAACATGGTTCCAGATTAAGCCTAGTTAACCAATTGCTGTTATTGTAGTTATTGATTTGCTAAAAACTACCTTCTTGTCAGATGATAGTTTACATGGGATTTGTGCCTCTAATGCTTTAACAGTGTAATGTAAGACCAACGTTTAAATTCCTATTCGTGGAAACAGCCAGAAACGGAGCAAATGAATTACAGTGCAGAAAGACGTAAGGGGGAACGGTTTGGAGGTCACGAAGATCAGGTGGCCAGATGGAGTCTTTCCTCCGACTGACACCGTGCTGAAACAATGCAGACACGCACCCGCAGAGAGGCTTTTGTAAATCAAGCCGGTGTGATAGTGAAATTTACCATACAACGTATCCCACTGCAAACGCGCACACCGCCAAGAGTCCACAGGGCCTGCTGGGATACCGGTGGTGTGTTGTTCTCATCTCAATTATGATGAAAGGAAGAACTGTTGTGTGCTGAGAACGACAGAAACAGAGCACAGTGTTAGCTTTACAAATTATTTCAAAGCACCAAAAAAAAAAAACTTGTATCACCAATAATCAGTGCAGAAGCTGGATTTTCTGGGAAGTGTATGTAAATGCGGTTTCACTGTAGATTGATGAGTTCAGACTGTACGACTTTAGCCTCATTGTAGACTCGCTGACAGGTTTTGAGAAATTGCTGACAAATGCCTGAAATCACAGGCAAATCGGTGCTTGTTCACATGAGTAACAATCACACAATGTGAACTATCAAAGTTGCGATTTGAGAGAACCGCCGATGAGTCGCCGACATCCGTAAGATATTTGGCATGCTGAATATCTGGAGCTGTCTGAGATTCAAAATTGTATGAAATGTGCTGTGATTGAAAATAACATTGGTTATCACCTACAGCCAATGATAGAGCAGCATCCACTTGTATAGATATCTGCAGGCCAGCAGGAGGTTGGGGAAGAGGTTTAAAGGGCTTCTTTTCAGTCTATTTGGACCCAAGAAATGGAGGCAAAACTAGTGGAAATTTGGCAGGTGAGAAAAATAAGTATTTTTCTTCCCCTCCAAAGGTTCTTTATCATTATGTAGTTTATATCAAATTATATGCTACGTGACTTCATGTTGTTTTCATGTAACTTCTCGCATGTGTTTGATTGTGAGACGTAGGGCCCTATCATACACTCGGTGCAATGTGGCGCAAGGCGCGACGCAATTGTTGTTTGCTAGTTTCAGCTTGGCGCAAGAGTCGTTTTGACGTTTTGCACCATGCTGTTTTAATAGCAAATGCATTTGCGCTCATATGTGCGCCTATAGGCGTTCTGGTCTGAAAAAGGTGGCTTGTTGCTATTTTGAGAAAATTTAATAGACTGTTCTATAGACCAGAACAAAGCCGGTCTAAAGTCCAGCGCAGAGCGCGCTAGTTGTGCGCCTCTGTTACACATTGCTTAATACAAACCGGATGTACAGCAATACGCAAATATCTTTACATATGAAAAATAATTTAAATATTAAGGATGTATTTAGGTTATAATATGGATATATATAGGATATACATATAAAGGATTAAAATATTACAAAACATATTATTTTCTAGCCTACATAGATATAAAAACCACTGCCTTCATGCCTTCTTCATCTCAGGGGAGGCTTTTTCAATTGATTCACAACAATTTGCTTTTGTATAATGTTATTATTATTAGCAGTATTATTTATTATATGCATATTTATATTTGTTTTATTTAAAACAAGTTTAGATTTGCCCACCTGCAGGTTTTATACCATATGGGGCACAGCAGGTGTTTTAGGATATAACTCAGTTTTTTGAACACACTTCGTTATTATTGTTCATTTATTCGTTTGCTGGAAATTAGAACTGAATTTAGAAATAGTTTTGAAACAAATCTTTGCGCTTAACAAACAAAATTAATTATTTATAAGCTAATGGATGTCTGTGCGTACACGAAGTTTCCCTATCCACGAAAGCGAAAGTAAAAAATGAGGAGGCTCATCTCACATTCTCACGCTGCAGATGCTCTGCTTAACTGTTTTCTTGCTAGTGAAGGGTTCAGTTTTTCCACTTACAAAGTCCGTCATGCAAATAACAAATAGTCTACGGCGCGACACAACTGACTCCTAAAGGGAATGGGAGATGAGACTCTGATTGGTTTATTCTTAAATCACACCTATAACTCATTAAGAAAATAAGCTCAAACCTTTTAGACTATGCGCCATGGCGCAAAGCGGATTTTTCCATCCTTATATTAGCAAAAGTGGATTCTGACTTGCCCCTAATGCGTTTGTGCCCTGCGCTATGCACTTTGCACATGGATCGTCAAAATAGAGCCCATAGTTTGATGACCAAGGCAAAATTTGTCGGCGATGCTCCAATTGTAAAGTCATGCAGTGTGAACCCACCTGCCGCCGATCCATCCTGCAGTGTAAACACAGCAACAGAGCGCTAGCCCAGATAGTCATGTCATGTGAAAACATCTGTGACGAGACTACTTTAAAAATCGTGCAGTCTGAACTTGGCATTATTATAAATCTTGTTTGAAGCATCTGACTTAGGTTATTTTATTGGATCTGATATCCCATTGAAAGATTAAGCATATTCAAATGTGTGAAGCTTTCTTTTTTTGCTATGGAATTGGGTAACACTTTAAGTACCAATTCCCACTATTAACTATTGGTTTCTTACCTGTCTGTTTTTAAGATATTGGCTTTTTTAGAACTGACAATATATGAGGTGATTCTACATCCCAAGTCCTATACCCAAACTCAATTACTACCTTACTAAATAACTATTATAAAGCGGGAAATTAGGAGTATATTGAGGTAAAGCCTTAGTTAATGGTTTCTTAACAGCAAGATTTGTACACTGTAAAAAATGCAGGGTTCCACACAAATTCCTTCATGTCCTAACACAAATTGATTAAGTTAACCTTATTGTTTTTACAAATATAAGTGCATTGAACTTAAAACAATTATGTTGTCCAAAAAAAAAAAGAACTTAATAATTGTTGATTCAGCTCATTTTAAACAAGCAGATTAAACAAGCAGCAAAAATAATTTGAGTCTACACACTAAAAAATGCAGACATCCACACAATTCCTTTATGTTGTCCCAGCACAAATAGATTAGGTTAACGTATTTGTTTTTTTGCCAATTTAAGTGGACTGAACATAAAACAATTAAGTTGTCCCAAAAACATTAAGAATTGTGTTGTTTCAACTTATTTCAGTAAATTAATCGAGCAGAACAATCATTTTGCAGTGTTATACTGTTATACAGTAAAATATACTTTGTTTATTAAAATAAAGTGCAACCTAAAACTAATTGCAATTAAAACCTCCTGTCTAATAACAAGAAAGTTTTAATCAAACAATTATAGCAGTTTTGTGTTTGTGAGAAAGTCAAAGTTTGTGAGAAAGGCAAGCAAAAACGATGGAATTCTCAGAAAAAAGGTCAATTTGCACTCAGCAAATGATGTTTGCTGCTTGTTCAAGCTTATTTAAAATTAGCTGAAGCAACACAATTCTGGATTGAAAACTGTTTTATGTTTAATCTAATTTATGTTAACTTAATGGATTTGTGTTTGGAAAACATGAATGTATTGTGTGAAACAGTTTTTTACAGTGCGCACTTTAAAAAGTGATTAGTTACTTAAAGTGAGTAAGTCCATTGCCTTAAAAGTAACAAGTTGACTGTTCAGTTGACTTAATTTTTATAATTCTGCAAATTTTACTTTCGGGCTTTTATTTTTACTTTTTAAAATAAAGTCAACTAATCACTTTTTACAGTGTGTGAGATATAAGGTCTGAGATATAAAATGTATTTATAATATACATATACAACTATAAAATGCTATATGTATATGGTTATATCTCATAGTCTTAAAATTGTAGGATACGATTGTGAGAATAACTTTATGGCCTAAAAACAAGAGTTTATTTCTCATAATTCTGATATAAGTTGATATACAATTATAAACTAGAAACACTACTGAATGTTTTCCCTAATAAAGCTCATGCATTTTAAATCAGTTATCAGGAATGAGCCAGTGATAATCATTGCAAATTGATAGTCAAGTGATTTATTGTCAAATGGAATCAGATCTTATTTACATTCAAATGCTAATTATTCTGCACAGAATGGAATCTAAAAATTCTAATGTAGCTATAATCCTTTGGTTTTAATCAGATTTACTACATTGAAGGTGTCAACAATCATCATGAATGTGAATCAAACCCATCCAAATACATCTTTTTTTCTCTCTCCCCAAACAATGTATTGCATACCAGTAATTCCCTGCATTAATTAATGTTGCTTGAAAAGATTATATATACGTACGCTAAATGCACTATATTTAAGTATTTATACCAGAATTATGTGACAAAAGAAAAGGCAATGAATCTATTTTTTCATTCATAATTGTGAGAATGGCAATACATGGTTGCAATTTTTATGTCTACTTTCTGTAAAATACAGTACACTGTAAAGAAAATTCTTACTGGCACTTTTGGTTGATTGTGAGAAAGTGTCTGGTGCAAATTTAGCATAGGTTAAAGTTTCAGAGAGATGAGAGAGTGTGTTTTCTACAGGTGGTTTGTCAGGCCCACTCACCTGTCCAGATTTCTGGACTTACTGCATCTCTGTTTAATGTTTATCATCTTTTTTCTCATATTTATTTTGTGTTGTCACTTGTCACTTTATGTACACTGGAAGCTTCTGTAGCCAAAACAAATTCCTTTTGTGTGTGAAGCACACTTGGCAAAAGAAACTGATTCTGATTCTGTGTGAAGCACACCCAGAATTTACAAAAATAAAAATAAATAAAATATAAAATTGTGGGAATTTCATTGTGTGAATGGGACAGTGATGTTCATTACAATGTGATAGCCTAGAAATTTAATTAAATCTGTATTTATGACAGAATTAAAAATGCAACATATGGCAAAAATAGACCAAACACCATCAATGCAATAGATGCATCAAACTATTTGTATTTATCAACTCGCCATTTTACTCTTGTGTTAGAATAGAAAATAAAACAGTTACTCGACCTCAAGCCTTTCAATTCCTCAATAAACACTAAGTGAAAGGAAAGTTGAGGATTGAAGCCAAGTGCTTGACATGGTTTTGCGCAGCTGAAAAGATGAAGGCCTGCTGGACGAGCCAAGCCTTCTTCAACCGTGTCTTTGATGAGAATGAGTGCGCTGTCATCATTATAACCATTACCATTATGCACGCCAATACAAACACTTCAAGACATGGATAGTAACACAGAGTTAGTTTACTGGTTCTTTTTTTATGTGAAGCTGAACATCTGTTTCATTTTTATGAGTGCTACCATGTGCACGAGAAGATATGAGAAGATGGTTGGTTATATATGAACGATGACATAAGGGATTAGATTAGGTCAGTGTTTAAAGCTAATCAGTTTGTAATATACTTTGAAATGTACTTTTGAGAAAAATGTAATTGT